AGTAGAAAAGTGAAACTCTAATAAAATAACGTTCAGTTTTCGGTCAAAAGTGTTATACAGCAAGATGACTCCCCAGCCCGAAAATTATGTATTTCTAGAAAATTAGGGATACACAACAATTACCCGTCAAAGTCAAGAACAACTAAGAAGGTGCATTGAATTTCGCAAAGCAGCCAATCCCAACTGCAACGGAAGACAAATGAAAGGTTAAAATAAGATTCAGAAGCAACAGAATAGATTAAATCAAATGAACTATATCTTGAAGTAAGAAATCTACTGATGCGTATTCGTAATGTAGAGTATACAGCTTAAGGCATAAGACGGATTCTTTAGGTTGATAAACGGAGTTCATTATTAGAGGCAGTCAGAATGATAAGCCCAAAAAAAAAAAGACTCTTGTCATAAAAGAATAGTAAGAATTTAATAGGAAGCATCGATATTTACAGAATATAGTCATACTCATATTACCTGGCCAGGAGGAAACAAAAGTGGAGCATCTGTAAGCATCATTTTATCAATTTCCAATCTTGCAGTGTCTCGCAAGGCCTACAAAGTATAGAGAACATCAATAGAAGGAAACACCATTTTTATCAAGAGACAGAAAGCCATCTCAATCATATCATATTAAATAACAAGCATGATGTGCAAGCATAAAGATTTAATGAATAGAAAAAACGTTACCAAAAAGAGTTGACCAGAACAAAGTCTGGCCTCCCAAGGATACGGCGGGGAGAAGCAGAAGCATTAAAAAAAAATGAACAATTATTAAAAGAAAAATTTTCATCTCCTCCTTATGATGATGTGATTGCATAGTTTTGTAACCAAAACGATTTCTAATGGAAAATTCTGAGTTGAAGATCATGTAGGCACCCTAAGCAATAATCTGGTTACAATAACAAATACCTTCAACATTGGAAGCACTTCGTCACCAGCCTTGCAAAATTCCTGTTAATGCCAATGGTCGTGTCCAGCATGAAACAACAAAATCCAAAGAATGCAATATTAGTAGCAGTCAAGTTAAATTAGGACAAAAGAGAATTATTTATTGCAAGACGCAAAATCTAATTAACAAGTAGAAAGGTCCATTGATAGATCAATCACACAAACCTCCATATTGTTTACAAAACCTTCAACTGAGCGGTACGGAGCATACACAATAAGGTCAAATTCTAAGCTCTGCAAAACAAGGGATCATGTCATGGGCATTTAAAAAACAGCAAGACACATATAAAAATTGACATGTGAGGCATATCCATGCCTGATAGACAATCATCTCATTATTGAGAATCATTTGGTGATCCTGTGAGATTCCCTTACCAAGCTCCTCAGCAGATACATGGTTTTCTTCTATCTTACAAGCAGCATATATGCAGGTCAACCTGAGCCAAAATAACAGATCCAATTAGTTATTCTTGCATACACAGAAACAACATTGATTTTGACGAAGTGTAAAAGTCTAATCAGAACGCCACACCATCCATCAGATGATAACATTTAAAAAATGTGATTATATTAAGTACCAATAAGAAGATATATGAGGAAAAACGATTAATTAAAAGATCAAAAGAGTTGACTAACAATAATCGACCCATCTTAAAAGCTATCCATGAGCTGATTTATATCCCAACCAAGTTCCAACTTTTGGAATAAACTACATATGATTTTATGAACTACAATTTCAACTTGCAATATCATAGCAAACAATGAGCGCGGTTCATTCTCAGTGCTGAGAAACTCTTGTACTGATTTAAGCCAATCTTACATTATATTTTTTGGATGATGTTCCATCACCGACCACTGTAGATAGAACCTTTTAAAATAAATGAGCGCTGTAGCCTGCATATAATTTAAAAAAAAGAAAGAAAAAAAAAAAAGACATTTCAAAAGTCCATTATGGAACGCATATTGTCAAAGCCAACTTGTTAGCACAGTCTTTCCTTCAAGTTACAATTACAATAGTGCATACCTGGATTTTATGAGGAAAGTGAAAATTGTTGCACACTTCTTGTAATTGTTCTCGTAAAAAACTCGGATACATTGTTCCTCTTCAATACTGAGGGGTTTAGGGCGAGAATGCTTGTCAGCTGACATAAAAGATAGCAACCTTGTCAACAGTTATGAATTCACATAAGTATCAGGAGAACAAGAATCTGATGAAGTACTTCTGAACCAAGAGATGCTGACTGCTATCAATATGCAAGGAAGTAAGATGATGAGAATTTTCCCGAAATTACCATTATCTTTCTGAAGTGAAGGATATGACAAAGACCCATCGACATCTACTTCCATAAGAGTTGCTCCATGCTTCAAAAAAGTCAGTAGTCATCAGTGACCAAATATAAAGTTCCAATGTTACCAATGCATTTTCTTCTGTGACAAGTTACATTGTGCTAAGAAAATATGCTTGAAAGAGAGGGAGAGAAGTTCTAATGCTAATACAGATTACATGTAAGTTCAACTTATTGTAACATACTATTATAGTATCGTGATTGAAAATATTGGAATGAGATGAACACAGAAGAATCTTGCAGTAAAATCCGGGTTCTCAGACACCATTGAAGATGTCTCTAGAAGAAGGTACATGTTTTATTCTAACCCCTCCTTAACATGTGTCTATACTCTATTTGATTATAACTACAAAAATTCTAGGTTATCACCTCCACCGAAAAGAACATAAAGCATGCAAGAAACTATTTTTAGTACCTTCTTCTCTTTCTTTTGCTAAGTATAGCATCAGTGCTGTTGACACATTTGTTTTGGGGGGCCCCCCGGGGGGGGGGGGAGATGATGGATCGGAGGAAGAAAATATACATACCTTCTCTAAAATTTGTATTGCTCTCTGATTAGCAGCTTTATATTTTTCAGCCTAAAACGAAAAAACATACGCTTCAGCAATAATACGCATATAATGTATAACAGAAACCCTTGTACTTTTGCAACCAAAAAAAATCGTCTCGAACTTCGACGAATATTAATTTTAAAGCATTCCAGCTTCAAATTACTACTTTTCTGCTTCTAAAGCAAACCAAATTGTCTATCGCAAAGATAAATTAGCTGTCGTTGGTACAAGGTCAAGAAGTTTGCGCTGGAGTTTTCTTTGCCCAGCATTCTTTATGAAGTATCAACTAAAGATGAAGACATAAATCAAAGAGAGCACAGAAAAGCACCAGTTGGGGAGGAGTGAAGATCCACTTGGCACGGTGGGTAGAAGTCTGAAAATCGGCCATGGCCAGCCAGAGCCTGCAACAGGCGTTTTTGCTATATTATTATTTACCCAAGAAACGAAAGCTGGAACACACTGATGAACTCAGATGGCGAAACGCTCTGTCACTTCCACAAGAATTTCTATGGGCATTTGGAGTTCTAATGGTCCTCCCCTCAAGTATTATTACTCCTTTTGAGTATTAACCCTTTCAATAGAACTCGCGTGATTCGTCAAGATGAGCTAATATAAGCAGTTTATTAAATTACTTATTCCTAATAAAAACAACTTAAAGATTATTTGAGTAAAAATCAAACTATGATAGGATTTTAAAAGTAATTTCATGAAATTTAAAATATATATATATAATTTTATTTTGATTTATCTGAAAATACTTTTTAAAAGTGTTTTTAGGTTTGTCCAAACACCTTTTAAATATAAAATGTGAGAGCAGATATTTTTAATGGAAACATATATATGCAGTTTATTTTTAATAATAAAAATAAAAATACAAACGACATTACAGTCTCAAAAAGATGAATGGTTTTCGATAATAAAATATATACTTACATATCTTTATATACCATAAAAATTTTAATAAATCATATTATTTGTATGACGTAGTTAGTATAAGTTAGAAACAAATGATATTTTGTATCTAGTTAGAGACGAAATCGAATTTGAATTTCAAAACTCATTTTGATTGGAGAGAAGGCTGGGGTAACATGTTTGGAAAATCATAAAAAAAGACCATAAAAATTATAAAATTGCAAATCAAGATCTCATAATTTGCATAAACTTTGACAACAATTGTACAATAGATGACAACAAATTTTTGACAAAATAATTTACAATTTTACCCCCCCTTTTTTTTTTGCGATTTTCCCATACATTTAGATAGGAAAAAATCCAGCACCCTTCAAAATGGCAGAAATCATGATTTAGTGGAACATAACAGTATTACGTCAGCAATTTGGGAGACGGATTATTCTAAAAGTCATCAGTCTGCGTTCCTCTCCAAAAGAATCAACTGAATCAGCTGATGGTATCATCGGACACTCAAATGTTAACTACAATAAGGAAGCTCCATCAGACAGTCCAGAAACAGGAAGACATTAAGAGGGAAAAAGAAACGAGGAAGGGATGGATCATGGATGAGAAGGGGACCAAGAACATGGAGATGACGCACGACGGTGAAGATTATGAGCTCTGTGTATGGCCATTGATTGAATTCCGCTGAAGCCGGTGAAGCTCGAAGGTAATTCACGGTCACCAGTTAAGAATTTGGCTCATCGACAGGTGTTTTCTTAGCAGGTAGGGATAGATTTTCAATTTAACAGTCAGGGACAGATTCTCTTTTAACAGCTGAGAAAAAGTTTTTTTTTTTTTTTCCCAGTCAGCCGGAGAGAGCGTGAATTTCCGGGGGAGACCAGCTTGCTGGAGAGAGATTTTTCTTTCGTTAATTGGAGATAGATTTCTTTACCAGGTGGGGGCAGATTTTTTTTCCAGCTGGAAACAGACTTTTTTTTTCTTTTTACTTGTTGGAGACGGATTTCTTTAATCAATTGAATGGATATTTATTTTTTACCTGCTCAAAGCCGATTATTAAATTATATTTAATCAATCAATCGTCATTCAACTTGAAAATGTTCCCCTTGTTTTTTGGCCTAAAGAAAATTTTCCGTTGCATGTTATACTTAGGGCCTGTTTGGGTATCCCAAAACCGCGGTTTCAGAAGCACTTTTCCGCGAAACGAGATAATCTCCTCCACATATTTATTTCGTAATCCGTAAAAGCACTTCTGAAACCATGGTTTGGTTTCTATCCAAACACACCCTTAATCAATTAATGGTCATTCAATTTAACAAATTACCGCTACATGAAAACTGAAAAGAATTCAACTTGAAAGCGTAAAAGAGAAAGCCGACCTTACCTAAAGTAAATTTTAACAAGAGTTTAAATTATTAGTATTTTTTTTTCAAAAGTGATTGGAAAAAAAAGTAATATGTGAAAAAAAAGTTATTTCAACTTACATTTTTTTTCTCAATGTTTTATGAGTTTCGCAAACTCACTCTAAGGTTAAATTAAATGCCGCAAATCAATTATAATCAGTTAGTCAATTAATTTCGGACTATCAGATTACAAAGTAAAGTATTAAATTTAGAGTAAAGCTGCAAATTTATCTTATGTTTATTTTTTAAGTGTATTCAATTTTTTTTGTGGTATAATTTTACTTAAAATGTTTTTTTGACATAATTTTACTCGTCATTTTTTGGGTGCAATTTTACATTTAATCTTTGAATGATACAATTACACCACCTTCTCATGGATAAAATCAATCAATCAATATTGGACCATCGAATTACTAAAAACTTTCGGTTATAAAAATTGAGAACTTAGCTTGAAAGCGTGGAGTAGCAGCATGAAATAGACTACTTTCTCTTATCAATATAACATTAAATACTCTTCCACCTTAGCCGATCAGTATATGCGGCTTAATATTGGCTTCTCACCTAGAATACTATTCATAAGCTGTCCAATTTACTCATCGTCCTTCCATGGGCTGCGTGCAAGCCATTTATTGAAGCTAACAATAGCTCCTCAACAAGTACTGCCTATGCACCAACACTATATTTCCCTCTCTAAGCAGATAATTCAAAATCCTTCATTCCCTCCTTATCACACATTTCGAATTTCAAAATCCCTCATTTCCTCCTCTTTCTCTCTCTCTTCATTTATGCTTTTGTCATCCGTTTCAAATTTCAAACCCCCCAATTCGCTCCGCTTTCACTTTTTATTCATGTCTCTTCAATACCAACAATTCTCTCATTTAAAATCAGATCTTATGTTTATGCAGAATGGAACTCCACCATCTCTATATCTCCTTCGTTTTTTTATCGAGATCCTTTTGACCTTCTTATTCCTTATCTTCCATGTAAAGTTGCTGTTTGTTTCTATTTTTTCTCCCAAACGTTCTCTTTTTATTTATATCTTTTCTACCCATCGGTTTCTCTCTCTCATTCAAAATTTAGAAATCGACCCCCAAGCAGTGCACTTGGGCTCTGTGTTGATATCGGTGCACTAGCATGCGGGCATATTATGAAGCTTCAGATTGAGGTAGATGAGGAGATCAGTAAGATTGTTAATACTCGCTTCAAGACCATGGCGTACCAGTAAGTAATGTCCCAAGTCTGAACCTAACATTCTTATTCATCTCTCTCTTAGATTCAAATCCTGAATGGATGAATGAATGAACCGATCAATCAGCTTCAGTATTGGGTTATTTATGATATGAGATTTGATTGACTTACAGGATGAAAGTGGGAAGTGGCATGAAGGAGCAATGACCACTCTTTTAATGTTTAATACTCATCCAGTCCTTAATATAAGATTCATTTAACTAATTTGATTAAATTAAGGAAGTTAGGTAAATTAGTTAATTATAGGAAAAGTGCCACACTTTTTCTAAAATACCATAATCATCCTTCTTAATACCTCTTCTCTCTCTTCTACTTGATTATGGTTGAGGGAGTATCCATAGGGGTAATTTAGAGAAAATTAATAAATATGAGAAATGGATCTTATATTTAGGACCAAAACTAACACAAAAATTGGGTCCTATATTAAAGATCGGAGGAGTAAGTCATTGTTTATATAGACGGCCTTCTCCTTCACATCCCAAAAATAAGTCATTGTTTATCTCTCTGTCTCTTATGCTCTAAGCCTAACCTTCAGGTTATTTCTCATATTTTCTTTTAATGTTTAATAATATATATATATATATATATATAACTCTTAATAGAGTTGTGAATTTGAGTTTTAATATGCGCTTCATTATCATAATAAATCATCGCAAGTGGTCGCTTAATTTGGATTTTTTTTTTTTTGCTTCTCATTCATAAACTTTTGTTAATTTTATTTTGCCTATCAGTTTGTACTATCGTAGCTTAATCCTCATTGAAGATTGAAGGTTTTTCTAAGTTTTGAATTTCTCATGTTTCATCTAGGAATGGTTAAAAGAAAAGTGAAAGGAAGAAGCTCTTTCACTATGTTGGTTGTTTGCCAAGAGACGAATTATGCTTTGAATAATTCATTCCACTAGCACCTAAGGAATGATTGGTTTTGCAGGTTCGGTATTATTAAAAATAGAATATCGTTGTGGTGTAGGATGATCTTGATTGTTTTTAAATAATCAAGTGGCATTCTATTTTTTTTATATGCACACACTAACTGGCGTGTAATGAATGATTTTTTTTTTTTTAATTTCCTTTGTGCAGTATTCATCACTTGAATGACCAAAAAACCTCAGTTGCAAATGAAGGTTATATATTTTGATGCCCATAAGAAAAGATTTTTATATTGAGATGCAGTATGGGTATCGAGAAGTTAGAGTTGATAATTTTTTTTCACACAACTCTCATATTTGGATTGTTTGTTTTCAATATCTCTTATTCAAATGGATGTGCATTTGCGTAACAAAATGCACATATCAGTTGCAACTTGGTATAAAATGCTTGATCTTTGTCTTTTTCTTTTGGCCCAAGGGCTATGTTGAAATATTTGGAGATGATTTTTTATTTTTGATATATCTTGTAATGTAATAGGTTTATATAGGTATTTAAATGGTTTGAAATTAATGAGATGATAAATATATCAACCTTTTTGCATCATTATTTTCTTAGAATTATTTGACCCAAAGAATAAAGGGGTTCATCCAACTAAATACGCTAACGCTGTTCCAAGAGAAAGCAAGAAACCTTGGTTTCATGCCTTAATGGTGTTGAAGCAAATTCAAGTGATTTGTGATTTTCCATCAATCATTTTTTAGTTTATGACAAATATCGTCTAATGGATTGATGTTATCTAAATGACACCATTAGTTAGAAGCCTTGACCTTAGTTACTAGAGGCTATGTTAGCTTTCGTCCTTTTAGAGGCATAGTTGAAGACGCTAGATTATTGTTACATAGGGATTTGCATATTCTGATTAATCATACCTTTAGGGAGCGTTTAGGTTTTGCTGATTTTTTAGCCAAGTCTTCACACATGATGATAAAAAATTTGTATACGTTTGATCAACTTCCACTTCTTCAGCAAGAGGAGGAGGTTGATAAAAGGATTTTGGATTCTGTTTTGTTGTTTTGTCTTCCTTTTCTGAATAGTTTTCTATTAAAATAAAAAATTACACCATCATCATAAGTAACCCCTGTATATTAGATATCTAGGATTCAACCTGCTTCATTATATTTAAGTAACCCCTCTATGTTTTGAATCACGGAAACGAACGTGCGCATTCTAAGAGGCAAATGGATGTGAGGTCAATCCAGGTAAGCTGATAGCCATATTAAAATGAATATCAATAAACATCAAATGTTGTTTATAAGGAATTTTTAAAAAAAATATAGATGGTGATGTTGTGTAATTAACACAAATCACACAATTTCTAATGTTTTGATGAGATTTAAATTTGTAACGAAAATAATTTTGCATAATTGTAAGCTTCCCGTGCAGCGCACGGGAGAGTAAAATCTAGTTTTAAATATAAGGCTTCCTCGACCAAATGTAGAGCGGATAAAAAAAGAATGTAAGCAAATTGATTATTTGTAATTAATATATCGAAAATCTATGATACTTGTTAAACAAAATTCTATCATTTATCAATTAAAATTTCATCCATAAGAACAAAATTGCCCCCATAAAGTGTCATGAAAAAGAAAAATAATATGAAAATGTGACATTATATATTTATGATCAAATCATAATCTTAAAAAATATCTTATATTTTACTTATTCCTAGAACTAGAAAGGGTGTTAGAATAATTAAAAGTAACTAATATTAGGTTTTTGTCCAAAGATAAACATTCAGCATCAGCATTAGCATACAATATAAAATCAAAATCACATCATCCACAAACAGTTAATAACTCTGGTCCGAAAGATAGTGAATAACCCTACTCATTTCTTAGACTGCATGCAGCATGTAGGAAAATATATCCGTGTAAGATTAAAGGAAAAAATAAGAAGAAAAAGTTAGGACTCACCACGGCAGAAGACTGTATTTCGAAACTATATATTCTCTTCAGGCGGAAGACGGCCTGCGACGGCCATCAGCCGGCTGCTGTCTATCCCAACTGACCTGACCATTTTCAACTCCATAAATCATGAGACGCACTTCTTTTCGTAGGCTGAGCAAGATGGGGATCTTTTTTCTTTTTGCGGAAACAAGATGGGCAACTATGAATTTTGTGAACAAGGAAAAGAAGGAAACCAAATATGGCAAACCCCAGGCACGCAAATCTAATCACAAGAGAAATATATCTACACAAATATCCAGGGGTGAACGTGACAACTGTTGCTCAGAACCACTCGACCATGCATTTGGGATAGAAGCCTTCACCAGCAGCAACATGGTTCATCGCTAGTAGTTCTTTCTGAACTTTTCGTCTCTCATAAAACACCGAGCATGAAATTGACGTGCACTTCACATCACTTTCCAGAAGCCTGCCTCCACCCTCACAATGGTCGCATATCTACAAAAGCATACCGATACAACTATCATCAAAGCAATAAATGATGCGCAGGGGCTAAGCCATGGAAGATAGTTGACAGAGATGGTCACCACGTGTAACGTCAACACTGCACAGGGCTTTCAAGTTCTTGCTTTGCCGATACACGATATATAATTAGAAATTGTATACCTCTTGATTCAAAGGCGATAAAAAGAAAAGCAGTAAACAATCACTTACAGCAACAAGATGCTGCATCTCTCGTTCCAACTTTGATGTTTTACTAATCACAGCCGTTGCAGCAGCCACTCCATTTTCAGAACACTGAATGCATATATGTGCAGATCCTTGGACCAACCCGCCACACAGTATGCAATGCTTTGACAGATAATAGGAGTCTATTCTTGTTCGATGTGAATTCGGAGCTATGAGATGCTTTACACGGGCTTCCTTTAAAGGACGGGGCATCTCTAAGAACCATTGGTTAAGGTCAGCACCAACAAGCCCAAGCACCCGCTGCAAAGCAGGTATTACTTGTTTATTTATGTAATACAAGTCATTTATTCTTAGTGGGGAATCGAGTCGCAAAACTTCCAACGGATCCACAACCATGTCAACCAGGCGGGCTCCAGGCTCTCCATGGATTACAACATAAGGTACTCTCTCAGCATAACGTGGTTCAGCCCTAGGGTCAAACCTCATTGCCTTGGTGGCGACAATTGCAGCTGGAGGTAAAGACGATGATGTCCTTGCGCTATAGCTACCTAGGCGAACCTCCTTAGCAAAGACAAAATCTTTAAGCGGGACTTTGCCTGAAAGAATTCTCCTCCACTGACGTTGTAAATAACTTTTCACCTGCATTCAGAGGAAAACAAGGTGAAAAACAGAAATCCAGGTAAAACTAATATTGTCACTTTATCAGAATAATCACTAGAAATCCTATTGTTTAAGTATTTATTCTCACCTCAAAAAAAAAAAAAAAAAACTTTGGAAGTTTAAACAAGAAAGGGGGATGGGAAATTGGAAGGTATAGGCATTAGAAATTTTTGCTGAGATCATCTCCATCAAGAAAACCTAGCAACCTCTCTCTAGTGTGATTAAAATAACGAAATGATAGTTTCTGCCAAAAGTATGGTAAAATAAAATACGATAACAAAATTGTTCACCATGTTCCATTGAAATTTGAAATTAAAACATTGCAATAAAAAATTAGAAAGAATTTCTACCTCCGATGAATCTTGATTTTCGAAGAAAAGCCTCAAAGACTGTTCCATTATCTTTGCAACTGCACCACATGTGTCTCTACGAACTGTCTCAATACCTTTAGCATCAAAAACTGGCTCAACTTGATCAGGGCTTTCATAACTGTAACCAACATACCGCTTTTTAGTAAGGAGGAAACAAGGCTGATAAACTTTCTCCAACTTCAGGGTGACAGGACTAGGATTCATAGCAGTGACAGCAGAAGCAATCTCACTCCCAATTTGGAAACATTCTTTAATATTGCGTCCTTTGAGGAGAACAAACATGCTGCATGAGAACAGCCACTATACAAGATTATTTATTGAGAAAGTAAGGACAATCATGAAAGAGATAACAGTGAGGTCCGGATTTAATATCACTGAAAAGAATAAATACTGATACGAAGGATTGAAGGCAGAGGGAAAAGAGTACCGCTGTTCTATTATTAATCCTGGAATAAAACCATGCACATGATGGTATCCATAAGAAAACCCAAACTAATCCTAGTATCATAAAACTAAAGCCAACATCTCAGATTCATTCTTCCAAAATAAACAGGACATGATAAGATATTAATATAGGATATAATATCCATATCTAATACTAGGATATACAAAATTAAAGGAAATATCATGCTCTCAACATGATAATGTGCCATGATTTGGACCTTTTCCTAATCGATCTCTGCATTATGAAGTCACCAAAGCAGATCTAAGGTAGGCTATTTGGTATTTTCAGGAGCGACAGGTGCATCCAGAAAATCTGCAGACTTTTTAGACCAGTAACCTCATCAATCAGATTTTTACAAAGCAAATTGAGCAATCAGAACTGTCTGAATTGATTTGGATGGTCAGGCTTCAAGTTCTCTTTCATGTTGGCAATTTTCTTTTTCTGCTTTAAAGAAAATCAAACACGGCAAAAATACTTTTTTAATTGCCACTTCAAAAAATAATGATTAAATGAGGGGGAAAAAACTCTAGACCATTCAAATCATATCTAAACTTTTCACTAGCTTTGATTGGAAGGAAAGGAATATAAAGCCCCCTGGCAGTTTGCTATCTTGGCGTCATAGAAGTGTTATTGGTGACAGATGAATGTGAGGGTCAACGGAAAAAAAAATCTCTGCATTCTCATCTGCTCTGGACAGAGTTACCTTCTTAGCCTGAGTTTCAGCAAATGAACCTTTTTTCCCAGAGTAGGTGGTTCCCTTGTGGATTTTGATTTTAACAAAGGGATTGGAAGGCACTTCAGAGCTAGAGTCCCCTTTTATTTCTTCTTAATTGTTTATTTTGGAGGACTTCTTGTCCTCATTTCTTTGTACTGTTTATCTTCAACAAAATTATTATTTTTATGAAAAGTTTGTGTCTCTATAAGAAATTTTCACAGTACTGCACACAAAGCACGAGTTAGAAATACCGCAATAATACCTATCAGTATCTCCATAAATGACTTTTGCATTCCACTTATCGTGTTGATTTACAAATGATATGGCCCTTTCCAATGTGCAACGGCCGCATTGAACTATACTGTCTGCAAGCTCTGCGCAAGGCATACGACCACTAAATCCAGCAGCAGTGTAGCCATAAGTCACATTTGATATAAGCTTCAAAGCAAGCTGTCTTGCATTAAATATCTGAAACAAAGATTGCAGTACTCGCAAATCACATTGCAATGATACACATACAAGAAAACTTACGAACTGTTAGGAACCAGTTAAGCTCCCTAACTACTGCTTGCTATAATAAAAACAAAAAGCCCAACACAAAATGCAGAATACAAAATGCCTGACCCATGAACATAGAGTTTAGGGGCAAGGCAGGTTTCATCTAAGCAAAGTGCCTGGCCCAGAAACACCTTGGATTGCAAAAATCAACCTATCGCTATGCCCAGACAGGGATGACTAGATGCCCACCTGAAATGACTGGGCCACCAGCCCATCCCTAGTAGATACTGAAAATTTATATCTATATGGCATTTACCATAATGGAATAGAAGTTTAAGAGGTTAGAGGAACAAATTAAAATCAAATCCACATCCATACCCGCTGAAGGACTTGCTGTGAAGGAGCCAAATTTTTCATTGCTTGTTTCACCATTATCCTAGTTGATAGAATTTCTTCCAACAAGCGTGGTAGTATACCTCGACGAACCTGTATGAAACAGTTATACCATAGGATTGCCGTTGGAAGTTTAAAGGACAATTGAACAGAGAATTGACAAAGAAATGATTGCATGACTTGAGGATGACGGTCAACTGAATAGAAACTAGCCTGATATTTATAGGGAAAAAAGGCACAGTTCGGTTTAACCTAGGTATTCTTTCACGTCAAAGTACATGACAAAATATAATTCAGATGGCAGCAGCCATGCAAGACTACTTAATAGCCAGTAGAGTATAAAAGATTTGATAAAATCACCTTGGAAGGAACAAACATAACACCATTTGGAGTAAGCAAGATCTGATCTTTTAAATCCTGCAGAACATGCTGCCTGGGTGAAAATGAACTAACCCCAAGCGTGTTTGCTTTTGATGGCACAACTTTGCCAAGGCACGTACAAAAGCAAAGATTGTACGCAATTATCATGGATGGATATAATGATTGAAAGTCAAATACAACAACCGGGTCTGAATAAAATCCTGAGTCTGGTTCCATCACAAGGGGCAGGCACTCCATGGCAGGTTGAGAAGCAACCTTAAATGAGACAATGATGAGTCAAGTGAAGGAAGAATATAATTATGTGCATAAAAAAAAAATTTCTCACATAAACTTCATCTAAGGACCAATCATTTCATTGTGCTCGGTGCTGTTTTGTTATTCTGAGGGTTTCTTATAACACAAATACAATGTCACATGGCAAGATGAAAACTGCAACAGCTGAATTCGCAAAACACGTCAGGGATGGGTAAGAACTGGACCAGCATATGACAGAAGTTAACTTTTTCAGTGATAGACTACCATGTGAAACACATACTAACGGAAGAAGAGGGGAGTGTGGAGAGAGGTCTGACTTAGCCATTCAAAGGGGCCCGTTGATTGCGTTTCCCACTTTACTTTTAATTCAAGATTGTGTGGGGTGGCGTATTAAGGGCCTTATAAGCCACTGCAGCTTCAGTTTTGATAAGTCATTGTCAGTATCGTGTCTTAGGCTTAGGAATGTGTCAGTTATGCTTTACAGTTAGTTCCTATTCCTCTTTGCATTATAAACAGGTGTATGACGTACTGCAAGAGTCACCTCATGATCGAATTCTTATTATAATTTGGAGACCCTCCTTGGCTTTATTAGCATGTGAACTTCAGATTTTTTATCACATTCTAACAAAGATTTAGCCTTACTCGCTCACCACATCCTGCTCTTATCATTCAGTTACGAGAAAAGAGCTCCAAACTTCTTAAAACAAAATACGCAGGATAATATGGTCTATGATGGGAACATACTGACATGTCACATCAAAGCATCAATATGAATCCACAAATAGAGAAGTTGTGAAGGGAAAATAGTGCGCAAACCTGTTGATTTCCAGGAGAGATGGCAAGATAGTTATGCGTATGTGCCAACCTCAGAAACATTGATTCAACACGATATTGTGAACCTCTGGAGAGAACAGAAAAAAAATCTATACCAAAAATACGAGCAAGTTCTGATGTTCGATTTACCTATGAAAACAAAATAAATCAGCATAACCCACCAGGAAATAAAGATGATTAAGAATCACAAACATCGAAATCAAAAGCATAAAAAAGAACAAAAATAAAAATGATCAAAAATGAATTTGCAACTTATTTCAGACCAATAAGTTAGTTTTGATGAAGCTAATAAGGAATCAAATGAGACATAAACTAGATTGTATGACTAGCGAGAAAAATGTGCTATTATAAAGTGTAAACGCATTTGACATTCCCATGCAGCAAGACAGACAATATGAAGGACTCCCGTAAAAGAGTATGATAGAGCTGCTGGCTTTACTCAGACCTATAAAAGGAAACTCAGGGGATTAAAGAGAAATAATGTTGTAGAGTGGCTCTAGACTCATGCTAGACACACGATGCTTCTCACTTTTTATTGCTACTAATAGTATCTAGTTTTTGTGAGCACTGAAACTATGTTTTGAGAGTCGGATAGAAGTGAGGGGAGTGCTGATCTTTCAAACACCACCAGTGAGGGACCTTGTCTTGCTTTGTTTTGTTCAGTTCATTGTGTTTTCCGTTTTGTATTAGGAAATAGGGTTTTGGCCAGAATTAGTGATGTTCCTTTTTGTAACACAGATTCGGTTCTAAAGCATTTAATAGCAAAACCTCAGTATTTCCCTCAATTGCTGTCCTCTCACATTTATTTTCTACTGTTGCTTTTATATTTAGAGCAGAGCTCTATCAGAGTACCACGACAAAAGACTATCAAAACTATGAGCACTGAAGACTCATAAAAGAAAATTCAGGCTAGAGTCATATGCTATCAATACCATATCAAGTTGGCTTAATATCTCAAGATTCAGCTTTGCTCTCTTAGTAACATATTTGACACACTGATATCTTGCTCGTCCAGGACCACCAGAAAACCATTTGGTCAGAACCTTGTTGTGAATTGAAGGAACTTTCCTCCTCAATACAGCTTCAGCCACAGCATCAACTGAGTATAAATTGAGCTTAACTTCTCCACGGATAAGTCGCCACACATTAAGCACGATTCTGCCACCAACATGAACTCCACTGGCATGTGTTCGTCCCCATTCATCTTCAATTATTGAACTTTCTTGTACATCATCTGCACTAGATGTACCCGGAATGGCAGTTTCTGACATATCTTTTTCAGACGTTTCAGTACCATCAGAAGTAGTCCGAGAGTCAGATGGAGTGCGAGATAAACTATTAAGTAATCCTAAACCAAGATGCGAAGCCCTTTCTGCTAAAAAACCAAGAGAACCGCCTTGAATATCCCAACCCATCAGAATATCTGGATCATATGAAGACACAATCTTAATAAATTTTTTTAGCAAGTACTTTTCATCTGTGAAGACCAACACCTTGCAGCCTGATAGGCCCCCAAAATTTCTGCAAACAAATTTAAGAATAAGCATAGGTACCAATTTCACAAACACTTGCTAAGTTTGGAACTTGGAAGAGATACATAATTTCTAATTGAGGCAAATGCGAAGTCATTCCACTTTCACCATACCTCTGACAAGGTTCTAGTTTACAATGCAAAAGGACAATAATATCTACAATAGTGTCATTATCATTTTGAAAACCAAGAGCTACAACGTTGATGGCATCAAACCGGGGATCAGGTAAAAGTTCTCCTCTTGATTCTGCAAGAACCTGCCAGTATTGCAAGCAGGTCAGACCTATGTGTAACAAAGTTGACCGAGGTTCATTGAACAACTGACCAAACAGAAAACATAGTTCCAAAAGAAAATAAAAAAATCCACACTTTTTTGAGGGATTGAAAAATAGGAATCTGTACTTAAGCAAAAGATTTTGTTAGGGTCCAGTGTCCTATGCTGGTTTATTCTAGAAAGAAACACAAGGACTAAGGGTAGTTAATGTCAGTTTATGTTTTACATGTGTTGTCCTATTTTAAGTTGTTTTTAATTATTAGACAGTTTGAGACAGCTATGCTGTCAGTTATTAATGTTAGTCCTTTAAGTATTGTATGATCAGACCATGAAGGTATGACGAGTATTATTCAAACAAGATATCCTCTCCTTCTCTAGAGTTTAGATTCTGACTCTAGTCACTCTCTCTCTCCTCCCTTATCTTTCTCTTTCTCTTCTCTTCTCTTCCCCTTTCTTTCTGTCCTAACTCTCAAGATCTAACAGATTTTGATCTTTTCCTACAAGTATAAATCTAATTGAGTAAGAAATCCATAGTTTCCAATAAATATCACTAAAAAGCATTGAACAAGATATTGTAAAAAGCACTGTTACATTTCACCCAAAAAAAAAGGCACTGTTACAACAGATAAGTGATAAACTAGAAAATTATTAACCAAATAATACTCCCAAGAAAGAAACAGATAATATGGATGATAATTATCACCGTCATCACATAGGCACAATCAGTAACGGGAGAGGTCACTTGATACCCCAGTGGGAATTTTTGCACCAGTCACTTCCAAAAAAGAAAAGAAAAGAATATATTTTGTGAATTTTCATAATAATGTGATTGGCATCAGCTTTGGTTCTTTTAATTCTGCTGAGATTAGGGACAGTATCGGCATAATTCCTCTCCATGATTCTCTCATGAAAACATATATCATGGCCAATCAGTAACAGGAGAGGTCACTTGATACCAAAGTGGGAAGTTTTGTATCCGTCACTTCCAAAGAATATATTTTGTGAATATTCGTAATAATGTGATTGACATCAGTTTTGATTCTTTTGATTATGCTGAGATTAGGGACAGAGTATCAGCATAATTCCCCTCCATGATTCTCTCATGTAAACATATAATATGGCCAATCAGTAACGGGAGAGGTCACTTGATACCCCAGTGGGAATTTTTGTATCTGTCACTTCCAAAGAATAAATAGAATATATTTTGTGAATGTTCATAATAATGCGATTGGCATCAATTTTCATTCTTTTGATTCTGCTGAGATAACATGATTTTCTCATGTAAACATACATATAAGCATAGATATTCCTATCATTAATGTAAGGGCATTAACTCTTATATGTTCTTCCTTCCTTCCTTGATAATCACCAAAAACTTGACTCCAAATGCCTAATATGAAGTCTTCAACCTAAGTTCAACATGAAAATTCGCAAGACCCCTAACAACTACAAAAAAATATGCAAATACAACAGAATTAAGAAAAGCTTGATCTCTGATACCTCTATACTGAGTAACGTCAATTGCTGGCCACAGCCAATACTTGCAGGATCACGAAACCCAATTTGACTTAGGGGAGTAGACTTTGATTTCACATCAGGGCCTGAAATCTGAGAACCGTCTTGTGAGCCATCCAAGCATGTTTTAATTAGATTCATTTGTCCACCACTGATGGATGGAGTCTTCTTTTCAGAATCAACATCTTCGACATGTTTAGACATAAGACAAGGTCTGCTATTCCAATTAGGCAAATGCTTCTCCTTTTCATCGGTTTCTTGGAACATTTGATCTGGAAACCAAATTCAGCTAAATCCTAAGAGAAGAGGCCAGAGAACAACCCAAAATATGCTAAAAGATCTTTCAGATAGTTTCAATAACCCCAAAAAACATTTGCAATTTGAAATTTTGTTCTAATAAGAAAGCAATTGATCTTTCAGACATGAGAGCCAGCAAGATAACTTTTTATACTTTAATGTATTTCCAAACAGGTTCTAATTCCTTTTATTTGGCATGAACACATGATTTAACAAATACCTCTCTCATCACAAAGTAGCCATCTCTGAACACTATCCTCAGAAGGAGGCAAAATTTTGGGTTTCAATAAGCACAGATAAGAGCCATCATTTTGATAGTAAGTTGCAACACCCAAGACCTTCTTCCCTTTAGGATCAGGGGTACTATTGGCAACATGCTTGTTGCAAGTTTCCATCTCATTAGGGGAACCACTGGCAGAAGCAGGAATAACATCATCCAGAGCTTTCACTTCAACAAAAAGACAAATGTAATAGTAAGTTTAAGTTTCATCGATTAGGCAGCAGAATCAGGGTGGAGAGCACAAGAAGAAAATAAACAAACTAAGAAAAACGTATCTGTTATAAAGAGCCTAAGTTTAGAATATAAATTATGTTTACAAACTTACAGTTAGATGCTTCCAGGTTCAGGAGTTTATTTTCTGGGGAGGGGGGAAGCTGAGATTCAGTTAGTTCATCGACACTTTATGGACAACAAACAAACACTTGAAAACATAACTCTCCAGATCCAAGAGCAAAGAAGAGAGAAGCCGCAAACTTTTGCTACCCTACGAGTTTCTATCATAAAAGTGGACGATTCCACGTAGCCCTTTCAATGTTCCTATGTAAGCGCTAAAAGCCAAGCACCATCAGAATAGCAGGCTATATGCCCCACAAACGTATAAGGAAGAGCAAATGAATTAGCATAGTGAAATTAAATTCCAACTTCCGACAGAAAAGACACTACACAGATATCACAGGCAAAGGGAACCAGACAAGGTTGGCAAGAACAGATTACTTCAAGGATTCCTACCTGCCATGGCAGGAGTTAATCCCATGTGATTACCCATCATGTCATTGACAAAGGGTTCTATGCCAATAGTCTCACACAAACCCAAATTCTCTCTGGGTTTTTTCTCATCACTTTTTACACATTGCAGTACTTGAATGTCAGTTGCAGTATTCACACCCACAGCGTTCTCACATGACTTCATCTGACCATGTTGCTCATAAGATTTGCTTCCGTCAATCCTAAACATTCTACCACTGGAAACCCCGGAGTAATCAGAAGAACTAGTAGAGTGAAACTTGTTCAGCTCAGAGAGAGTTGGTCCACCATAACTGCCAATTACAAGGGGTGATTTCCTAGACACTACATCATGTTTGCTCATTTTCAAAACACAGCTCTTCTGGACTTCTGTTTCTCCTTCATCAGTCGTCAGCTTCTCATCCCCATCAAAAAGTAGTTTTTTAGTTATTTCAGATTCACGGTCAGTTTGCTCAACTCGATAACATCTCTTTCTCCTCATCAAGTCCCGCACAGAGCAATTATCCAGTGTATCTACTTCTTTTAAGTCTGAAGCACCTTTATTCCCATTCTTCACGCCATTATCTTTCTCATTTCTAGCCAAATAAACCAAGTCAACACATTCTCCAGTTTCCCTTTCAGATGGGCAACATGTAAGCTAGCACGTTCAAAATTGTTGCAGGTCATTGAAAATGGCAAAGATCCCCATACCTTATTACTGTTATCTTTGCTATAAGTATCTGCTCTGGTATTTTGCAGTATACAGTATTTGGAAGAACAATTGGATTCACCTTTTTCGTCCATTGCAAATGAAATTCCAGCTGAACCACCACTTGGACTTGAAGATTCATCATCAGCAGAACCATCAACTTTGCCGCTTGACAAGTTGCGAGCCACTTCAGGAGATCCAGTGCTTCCTTATCTGCAGCCTCTAAAAACAAGAAATGTAAATCTGCATGAGGTCCTTCAGAAAGAAGTTCACTTCTGAATAAATACCATTTATATATCTATTTATAAAATAAAAACGGTAACAACCATGAGACCTTTTCAAACTTGTGTGCAACGCATGAGACCCATACTAGGTTTGTAATAAAAGAGATAGTCAATATTGAATAATGCCATAATAAATCTGATAGTCCCTTTAGCTTCATTGGGTTATATTTCTATAGTTTCATTTATTTGAGGGAACATAAGAAAAAAGAGCAAACACACTTATCCAATTTCTGAGAAGGTTCTCACAAGAATTTTGATTACTCACTATAAGAAATAAGTAAATATTTGGAACAAAATAATAACAACTAAAGTTGGCACAGAAAACATTACTTTTCATAGTGCTAGTCCAAGGATGTTTCCATCATTAAACAAATTATTGGAGTAACTTCATCAAATTCAATTAGGAATGTCAAATATATTACTCAGTCAATATTACATGTCCAGATTTATTGACGGGCAGCACATGCATGGGTCTAGACAAAAATCTGCACCACTTTTGTGATTAGAATCAGTGCAATTAGTAAATGCAGTACCAGATTTAAAGAGATTCAAGAGTAAGAATCTTCACAAAATCTCATGAAAATTTGGTATTCATTAAAAAAAATTGGGAAGAAAATAATGCCTTTATGCCCTGTGTTTCAATCATCTCAGTTGATTGCATTTCATCAACAGTCAACAATTTGAGATTTGCCTCAGTCCCTTCTTTCATGCAATTTGGCATCATTGCATAGTGAAGCCGTGGGTGGTGATGCTGAACCTATTATGTCTGTTTCTCTGTCAATAATTTAAAATTTGCAGCTAGTGTTGTTAGTCAAAACATGTAAGAGAATGCATGCCCTTGAGCTGAAAATGGCTTCATACAAACCTCAACTCCTCAAAGGAAGTAAAAAGATGCAAAGCTTTCAGCTTCACACACATTTCAAAAAACTTTTTCTCAAAGTCAAGACCAGCAGAAAGACTTCTTATAACAACTTCTGGCTGGCAATGCTTCCCAGGATAACAGGAGTACAGTATCCTCATAAATCCCAGTCCTTTCCTGCTGCTCCTGAAACACATGGAGCAATTAATTAGTTCATTGTCAGACAGTATAAAACTTGTAAAGTGAACTAACAAAGACAGATGGATATGTTACCTTCCAGATTGGTGCAAGAGACTGAACCATTTGCACATCTGATCGGGTTTGTGAAAGGATGAATACATTTTAAACTGCTGATTAAAGAATCTCTGTCAAACCAAATTATTTCAATAACTTATAGCAAAAAAGCCATACATGAGATAAATTTATGATTTAATATGTTTGGGCTAGTATAAGATAACCATCCACAGAAGCATCCCCCTCCAGTTCACATGTGCTTTGACGTTTAGGACAATGAACCTCGTGATTTGATGAAGCATCCACTTCAGTGGGAAGTTGCCACATCCAATCAGATGAGACCATAGATGATGTCCACACTGCTGACCCTAAACACGCATCACCATCTGTATCAGCCTAAAAATATTATGTCATTGAATTATAAATATCCATTAGAGACATAAGTATAAATGAATTTGGTCAGTTAAAATGAAAACTCTAGAGAATTAGGAAATTTTAAGACACGCAAGTCAACTCACCCCTGTCTGTTGACTATTGAAAATCAATTTCTTCTCAGAAGAATCTGGCATAGGATGGCGGAACTTCATCTTTAACAAGTGCAGATGACCCATGCCATACAAGTTATAGTCAACCTAACAAAGAAAGAGAGATTACGTCATTACAATCCCCTTCTTAATCTTATTTTTAATTACTAAAGGGAGACAGATAATAGTTCTTAAATTTAAAGATTTAAGTAACTACCCCCTAAAAATATCTTTCCAATTTTTACTTTAAAAGTTTACATATTAGAGATACCACAAGACCAAACCCATGCATGAGGATGTGTTAGCATAAGAATATCTATAACAACATCCAAGCACATTGCTCACAAGACGGTTGCTGTACATTACAGACTCACCCACGCTATTCCCAACATATAAATATGGAAAAGCAAAAATAATATTGGATCAACTGAATTCAGCAGGTATCTACAACCAGATGCTTGTGTCTACGTAAGTCAGCAAATGCACACACTAAACTAGAAAATCACTTCATCTTGTTCACTTAATGCAACATAATACAGCGTGAATAGTTCATATAGAGATACATACCAGAAACTGAAGAATGAAGGGAATATGTGATTCATAGGGCTGTAAGCTTTTCCCGAGAACAGCACCAGCCTGAAAAAGGTGTGTCATTATGAAAGCTTAATCCTCACTGCATTATATTGAACTATATCTCAAGAAAGAAATTACTCTGATCAAACTGTACCAATAGTAGATTAGCAGCACGGGAGACATCTTGTGGATAATATCTTGAAAAATTTGTGAAGGTTTACAATAATTAAAGCATGTTATCAGTTTAGCTTTTACCTACCATCAGATATGAGTGTATGTGTTACTGCACGTGTTATGACTTATGACACAAGGGGGGGAAAAAAACAAGACAGAAAAAATGTAAATAATTGGGATACAGGTATATCTTCACAAATAACTCCTCTGATGAATGATAACCATAGAATCTCCTTGCTCTTACAAGGCTGCAGCCATGTACATGTTGCCTCGTCAAACCACTGCTGCCTTTTAGCTGTTTAAGTTGAAGAAAAGGTTACTAAATCCCCATCTGTAATATGAAAACTATAACTATGGCCACATAATATAATATAATAGAATGGTCAAACTCATCTAATGTGATCAAAGATACCTTCAATGCTTTCTCAAGAGATGCAGATACCTTATACGTGTACACATCTGCTGTGCAATATCAAGAAAGACCCATCCCAAGTTATTGAGCTTCTCGAACAAAATGTAATATATTTCAACGGCATGAATACTGATAAGAATTTAACTAATCAAAAACATCATCAGGAATGTCTGATATTGTTCAGCACTTCCAACCTAATAATGATGTTATCACATCATATACGAACACAACGTACTGTCGTTTATCAGAAATTCAGAAGGATGAAATAAAGTAAGTTTAATCTTAAGATGCCAACAAGGGCTTGAGAAAAAATGTCCTGCATAACTTAAGAAATGCGCTTAAAAAAAATTAATTAAAAAAAACTAATTCTAAACTTTCTCTTACCGTCTTGATCTGACTGAGGAGGTATATCAGCACATGGCACATACATGTAGGGCAAAGCCTACAGAGCATAATATGGATATTTCAGCAGTGATCTTAAATTAGGAAAAAAAAAGAAAAAGTAAATTTAACGATATTGAACAACTGAATTAACCAAAAGAAAGAAAGAGCGTCAAAAGAATATAGTTTCAATAATAATGTATTTATGATAATCACAATGTTTGCTACCACTTGCACGGATTGTTAATCACTGAACTTTACAACCTCAGATAGCAATCTCTTACCCGATGTATATGCAAACAAGTTTTCTGCCCAGCTGGAGTAGAACCATATATTCTTACAACAGGAACCTCATTCACTTTCCCACCTTGATGTATTAAAAAAAAAAAACAATGGATGAAGGATGAGTGAGAAAACACAAGTTCTATTGCCTCTGAACTAACCGAAGCTACGAAATAAAATGACTTATTCATAACATGAAATTATAGAACGACCGAAAAAACCATGTAGCTTTCAGTGCAGAAGTAAAACCCAGAGAAAAATGTTCTTCAGCTGTTCGTGACTGATATTACTTATTGCCTAAACCGCGCCATTCATTTCGCTTAAGCGTCCCTTCGGAAGCCCAAATTCTCGTTCCCAAGCTAATTGCGTGGGACTAGGTTGCAAATGAGTTAAAGACACTAGAACTGACAATTACAGACCTGTTATGGGTACATGAACCGAATCTCATACCATGGAAACTGCTGTAACAGATATCCAGGCCTGGAATTGGCGGTGCCATGTAGTAGTCGAGGGACACAATCCGAATACTGAACATTTTCCAATCACTCTGCGAGTCTGCCATCGATTTTTCTGCACCTTTGCCGAATCCAAATCAACAGGGGTGAAAATTATACGTAAAAAGGGAACCGGGCGGCAAGAAGTTAGCTGAGAGGTGTACGGATCGTCGACGCGGCCTGGCTCTTCGATCGGTTAGGTTTGGCGGGAGACCGACCTTCCTTTTAAATAGACGGCTTTTTAACCCGCTGGACAGAGTTGTTTTTTCACGAGCCGGAGGCAGGTTGTTTTTTATCAGATGGATATTTCTTTTACGACCTGGACACACTTTTTTTTGCAGCGGAGCATACTTTTTCTCATCAGCTGGAAACAGAGTTTTTTTTACCAGCGGAAAACATATTCTTTGACCAGTTGGAAATTAATACTCCTCCTCTCCCAAATATAACTTGACTTAAGAGGCTAGTTTTTCACTTAATCAGGAAAATGTTTACGTAGAAACAAAATCATAATTTTAAAAATAATTTTATAACATATAAAATAAATATGTGAAAAAAAATTTAGTAAAAAGGTGCTTTTCAATTATGCCAAACACTCCTCACATCTCAAACATAAAATAACCTACTCGCTCTTATTGTGAATATAAAGTTTGCGTGAATATATATAATACGTAAAGGTTCTTTGCTAATATGTATAATTGAAAAAAAAACGTAAGTATATTGATCATTGGTAATTAATGTATAAAAATTTATAATGCTTTTTAAAAATAATTCTATTATTCCTGTTCAAAAAAATAATTCTATTATTGAATGATTAAAATTGCACCCACACGAACAAAAATGCCCCCAGTAAATAGAGTGTTGTGAAAAAGAAAAATTTAACGTGGGAAATAAAAAAATAACTTTATATTTAAGAACAGACTAAAATTTTCGAAAATTCTCATATCTAAGACATAGAATAATTAAAAGTAACTAATCGATTCTAGTCAGTAGGCCAATCAATTACGTTTTCTTTTCCATCTATGTTTTTAATCAATGAATATACTGGTTGGCAAAAAAAAAAATATCAATGAATATGTTGGTCAGCCCATGTTTTAAGAAAACGTGATAAAGGTAAAAAGCTCTGTCCTTAGCTAACTTCTGGAATCGATATCTTTTGCGAATTTATCTTCTGAGGATCTGCAACTCCGCAAGCAAGCATCTCAGCGGTGGGGTCTGTCTCGTGCACTCCCCCCCCCCCCCCCCAAAAAAAATCAATTCTTTTCCATTCTGGTTCCTGCATCGTCTTCTTTTCAAGAGTATTACTATATTAATAAAGCCATGATTAGTTCAAAAGCGAGATATTTTTTTATAAAACAGAGCATCATTTTATTGCATGCACACACAAGACAAATAAATTTTACACAACACATACAACATAAATACTGCAGATAAAAAAAAAATGTCAGGACAGAAAAAGGCCGTGAACGCTAGAATGCATCTGGTGCAGTAAGACAACCAAAGCATTCGATAGATGCAGGAACATATTCGCTGTAAACCGCGAGCCATCAGATCGATACGCTGTTCGGAATTCCCATGGCGGTTAGTCCACTTTCACTAGTAGGAAAAAGTAAAGTGTATGGAAGCTTAGTTGGGCCAACTCTGTTTCTTAGTCTCTCATCATTATTCATTCTGGTGATCATCCCCTCAATTTCCTCAAGCCTCCTTCTAAACTTGTCAAAGGCCTCCAGTGGTTCTAGATCAGCTGTCCAGTTAGCCGTATCTCTTCGTCCAAGGTAAACCTCATCAGAAGAATGCCTGGACAGGATTTCTATAAGTGAAATGCCAAGAAGAGTTTGAAACTGTGCTGTGATTGTTTTCAAGAAAACCTTATCAGGGTTTGTCACAAGCTCATCATACTCTGGAGTACCCTTTTCAGGCATGAACCGCCGGCTTAAAGATGGACGATTCGGGTTATAGCCTGCATAAGGGTACTGTCCAAAGTTGATTGCAGCATGGAGAGCTGAAGCAGTCCATATAATGATAGTGCAAGTCTCAATCAAGTCTTCGCGAGTCTGCATTAAAGGCCACCAAGGGGCATCTTTCTTGTCCCCATGACCAACCTCTTTTATTTCCTTCCACCAAGACTGGAGTTCTGAGTCCCTACTAACTGTGTCGTCTGTCTTGTAGTAAAAGGAGCAATAGTCTCTGACCCATGTCTTAATAGCAAACCAAACCTCAAGTCCATCAACAGCATAAGGATAATCCTCAATTAGTAGCCGAAGACCATAGGGGCAACGTGGATCTTCAACCGCCATTCCTCTGAAAGAAGCAAACAAATCAGTTTACCATTGTTTCACACCAAAAAGCTTTTCCTAGTTTAGTTGCAATAAAAAATGAAAGAAGTCAAGGCCAAATAACTGGAATTAAAAGCTATAAATCTTTCAGTGACTGCCCTGAGCGTGTAAGCTTCACCTCTTAAGAAGATCTGTAGGAAGAGCTTGATCAGGGAAAGTCCAATTCTTATAAATTACGGATGACATCTCCATAGAATACTTTGATGGAAAAACCGTCGTCTCAAGAATACCACCCGCATTGATAAGGATCTGTCGTGCAAGTGCATTTATATTCATGGTGTCACGGAAATGAGGAAGTAGTAATTTATGAATCGGGTGAAGCACGCTAAGCTGCCTGTTTGTAGCTATAACAAATGGCTCAATTGTTGCATGAGTCCTTAACCTGCGTCTCATCATTAAAAGGATCCCATTAGTTAATTTCGAAACCAGACTAGATAGATATAGTGCACTTTATATATTTACTCCATTTGATTGAGTTATACCAGTGACTAATAAGTTGATGATATCCGGAGTCATTTACTCCCACGTAGGCTTTAGCTAAACTCCAGATAGAATGTTCAACGCCTTCTTCTGCAGGCACGTAAACTTTACTAATGGCGCCATACTGATCTCCATCAGGATGTGGCAAACTCAATTCTATGGCCAGTGGCTTTAAAGTTCCAATGTCTTGCAAGAAAAGGATTGTCCGGCTGGCATAGGCTTTTGTAGAAGTAGAGTTTATCCTCCTCAAATACGGATACAGTGCATCGTGATAGTCCAATATGAACAGCTTCTTTTTCCTGATCGCCTGTTGAACAAAACAGAAATCAATAGTTTGATTCACGTTAAAAAAATGACTCAACCTTATTGAACGTAGGCACCTTAAAATGAGTTGGCCACAACAAGATGTTACAAAATTTTTCACGTTAAGGGTTATTGTAAAACCCAACCTTACTGAACCGAGACACCTTACCTCATCTACAGTGAGCCCATCCATATTAATCTCTAATTGTTCTCTGGTTATTGTGCTATTTTGTTCACCATAGACTATAGGATCTAGCTTGCTCGTTGGTGGGAACTCCTGCCATTGATTTAGAATAATTATGAGAAGGGAAAAAAAATGCTCAATCAGGCCATTAAGCCTATCCAGCTCAGGAAAAGAGAATATGACTTTCCAAAGATCCTATTTTTCAGCTAAATTTTATCATCTACAATCAAGTATTGTATCTTGGGCTTACTTGGAGACATTGGATCACGACAGGGTTTACACCAGCTAACATCTCTCTCGCAAATTCTTCATCAGTCCTCCATGCAAACTTGTCCTCTAGTCCAAATTGAAAGCAAAAATATTTAATCAAAATGGTTTAGAAAATACACAAGTTTCTCATGTTCTTGACTACAAAACAACACATTGAATTACAATAGCAATGTAAATTGTCTATGGGTCAAGAATAAACCTTTAATAACGTGTGGCGTGGGAAACTTGAGCACTGGTTCACCATCAGTTCTGAGAATTTCCTTGAGCATCTCTGCATGGATGTTATCCCTTATATCCTTGAGCACACCTTCTGGAACCTTAATCCCACCTTCGTAGAGTTTAAACACATGCTCAAAACTGTCAAATTCATCGGGGGTACTGTCAAATACCGATTCCAGCTCAGGTTTGAGAACCTGAACTACGGATTTCAGGGCATATGTGAGAAAGTCTGCCATTTTCAAGTGACCAAATCTTTCATCCCTTGGAACATAAATGTTTAAACTCATGACAAGCTTCAACCTACTTTCAGAATTGGGATCTGCAAAGATTACAAGATAAATTAACAGCACCTCACTATGATATTTGCTGAAGTCGAAGAAAGAAAGTTGAAGTTCGTGACTAATTGATGGCATATGAATCCGCCCGCGTTATGGAGATATGTAATCATTACTTCACATGAAAAATTACCAAACCTTTGTTATAGCGAACATGTCATTTATTTGAGCTTTAAAAAAAAAAAAAAAAAGAACATGTCATTTCTGGAATTTCATATTATCACGACTCTCTTTATTTTCCAATGCCCAGAACACGTGGACAAAGAAAAGAAAATACTAGATTTTCCCACTTAAATTATTCAGCATAACAGACTTGAATGAATAACGAAATAACAAGCTCCCAACACCCTAACCTGACTTTGAGGGAGGTCTGCCAGTTCTTCCTCTTCGAGGGTATGGATATTTACTGCAACCTCCAAGAACAGGGCGAGCATAGTTCGGACTCTTATCAGGATCGCCCAAATCATTGTAGAACGCATAGTCATAGACTCTGTCCCATTCTTGGAGCTCCCCTCTCCCATCACCTCTTAAATTCTTCAGTTCTTCTTCTCTGTACTTGAGCAAAGGCACTGGTGTCTCACTTGGAAGGTATGCCTGCAATATACAAGTAATTATGTCCCTTTTAGCGCACAGTTCTCAGACACTTCTGTCAATTCTGAGAATAAGTGAACTAAGGTGTTGAAAATGGTGAGTCTTGCTCAAGTGCTTGTTGTTGGGGTTGGGCAATACCTTGTTGCTGAAGAAAACACGATCATTCTTATATTTATGCGCAGGGTATACCCAAGAGTTGCAAACAAAGTGGATGTCACCTTGTCCTGGAACATTTTCAAGAGTGAGAGTTTTGAGGTAGAACTCACTGTGGTGATTATTCTTTATGAGAAATGCTCCTGGGATTCCTATATCCTCATCCCACTCAAACGTGACCTTGAATGTTGATTCACCAGTAGTCACGAGTGTGCCCGTGGTGATCCAGTTTTCTAGATACGCAGGCTTCCCAACTTTTCCTCTCAAGTCATTTCCTGCAAACATCAAACATTTTAAATTGGCCAGCAAAGCAACGT